ATATTTATTTGTGTGCCTATATCTCGTACAAAATAGTCTGCGGATACACGGTCCGGTCCGGTCGGCGAGTGCCAAGTGGGACGCACCACTAGACACCGCCACGGCCGCGGCGGCCCCCATCTGGCGGGACGGGACGTGCCGCCGGTGACGGCCGAGCAGCAGAGAGTGATAAATAACGAACCTGGCGAGCGTCCTCACATGAGCAGCTGACGGCCAGCTCTCCTCCAGCCGCGCGTAATCACAGAGAGCCAAACTAACGTTCATCGTGGATCCCCCCCCCCCCTTCCTCTTCCCCTTTCCTCCTCCTAAACGCGCTCCACATCTATAGATCGGCTAGGTGTGCGGGGTGGCAGGGCGTGGCGTGGCGCGGCGGGCACCACGCCCCACCGCGACAAGTGGTTGGCTCTCGCGCAGGATTCAATCCCCTCTCGGCTTACAGCCTCTATACGCCTCTCTTTGATGCGCCTCCCTCTCTCCCTCTCGTCTCTCCCTCTCTCCCCTCCCCCTCTTCCTCTTCCCTCCCCCTCCTCCTCACACGGATCCAGCTCCGGCGGGTACCAGTCCCTCTCTGTGCTCAAGGACGACTGGACCACTACTGGACCAGTAGTGAGGGCTTAGCTCCTCGTAAACGCATCACACGCGTGTGTGTGTGTGTGTGTGTGTGTGTGTGCGTGCGTGTGTGCGCGCGCGCGCCGCGTGGACACAATTGCTCCGCGGAGGGCCACTCGTCCGGGCGGCACACACAGTCGTGCTCGACCAATAACCCGTTCCCCTCATCGCTGTCCCGCCGGTCGTCTCGCGGGGTCCAGAGCAGCAGCATCATGGCTCCGGGGCGCGTCGCCGGATGAAATCGTATCGCCTCTGCTTCTCCTCTCCTCTCCCGTGTGGATGCTGCAAAGCTGGACCGAGAGATCACTCCTCCTCGAAGTGGCTCCGCGGAAGAGCCCCGGGGGAGTCGGTCGGCGGCTTCGAGGGAAGGAGCGAGGACCAGTTCATGCATTGATTCATCACGGGAAAGAGAAGAGATAGAGAGAGGAGGGTAGACCGACGGGCAGAGAGGGCAAGAGAGGGAGAGGCGAAATCCTTTTCACCTTAGCAAGACTGATCTGATGCCCGAATCCAAGGCGGCTGAAAAACCCCGTGGGGATTTTGTGGGTAGACTGTACAGCAACGCAGCCTTGCTCGCGCGTCTGCCTACCGTCTCTCATCAGGCGCCCTGGTAAGGAAGACCTCGATAGCGAAAGTCTTGAGTATATTGTCTGCTCTTTGAAATTTACGTTTGCGATTAAGGATTAAATCCATGTCCGAAATTCTTCCGGGAAAATTTGATAACTTTTCCAGAAAAAAGGGTGAAAAATCTAAAATATTTAGAGACAATTCGAAAGCACTGAAACTTCTTCGACTAAAATTAGAGAATAAAAGTAGAATTCTTTTAAAAATTCCCTCTTATTTTTATTGAGATGGAAGCCACGCCTACGCCTTGGACAACGCTTTGGTTGCAAAACACTAGTGGAACGTGGAACGCTGAAGGCTCCTAGTAGCGGCAGTAGCAGCAGGTCGTCAATTTTCAGAAGCGCTGCCGTAGCGTCGCGTGGTCGGTTGTGCCGGCCACACTGGAGGCGCGCCTGGAGGCGTCCTGGACCCGGTCCAAACGATTAGAATACTGTATTAGCGGCGTGGCCTAGCGCGGTGGCGGTTTCGGTAGACATGGGGAGGGGGGGGGAGCGGGAGCGGGTGTGGTGTCCCGCCGAGCTCCGGGCCCGCTCCCGCTGCTGTTGCTAATCTCAGAGCAAGAGGGGGACGTATAAGTGGACGGAGACACTCCTACACCACCCCTCTCTCTCCCTCAACCTTCTCTCACCCCCCGCCTCTCTCTCTCACCCCCTCTCCCTCTCTCTCACACACACGCAAACTCTTTCATGAGCTCATGGTGCATGCAGGCCGCAGAGCGCAGACAGCAGCAGCCTTGGCCGCGCACGCACCAGAGGGGCCTAACTTTGCGACGCTATTAGCCATGTTGGCGACGTGCGTGGCGCGGGGCGGGGTGTGCGGGTGGAACCTCGTTGGTGCACGAGACAATAGAGGGCAATGCACAAGACAAGCAACAACTGGTGGCGCGGGCGGAAGAGAGTGAGAGAGAGAGAGAGAGTTGGGGGCTGTGGAGAGAGAGAGAGAGAGGGGGGGGGGGAAGGGGAGGACCCCGCCGACAAGCCGAGCTAAGACGGCGGCGGCGCGGCGCCCCGTGCGAAACTCGCCCCCGCCCCGCCACGCCACGCCGCGCTCATATTCAGCACGCGCGGCCTGTGCGCCACAGTAGCACTCCGGGACGGCAACTTAGCCACCCGCAACTACCGCTTCCCCATCCCCTGAGTTCTCTCTCTCTCTCTCTCTCTCCTCCCCGCGCGCCGCCGCCGGCGTCGCCACCAGAAACTTTCATATTATTCCGAATCGTCTCATGTTGATGCTAACTCCATGTCGGGGCTGCTGCTGCTGCTGCTGCATGTGGAACGTGTGAGGGTGATAGCGAGCGAGGGAGAAAACGTGGGGGAAAGGGAGAGGGGTACGGGCGAGACTGAGGATGGCCACTCTTTGGTTAAAGAGCCTATAAACGCCACGCCACGCCGCTGGTCCTAACGGTCGCTGCTACCCGGCCTGCGCCTGAGAATAAAAAAGCTCTGTTCCGAGTACTACTCGTCCGGCTCCGGGCCGTCCCGTCCGGCAGCAGCGACCGCGCCGTCCAGGCCAGATAAGTTCCCAAAGAAACCTGTTGTAGGGCTCCGGGGCCTCCTCCGGGAGGTGGAGGAGCAGGGCGCGGCCGCCCTAACTCGTCCATTTCACTCGCGAGGAATAGAAATGTCATCTGATTGTAAGGCCGGCCGGCTTGACTCGACGGGGATGGAGGAGCCAATCGACTCCATCATGTTTAGGCCGTATCGACCGGCAAGGATCGCCTTCGTAACTACTGGAACCATCGAGTATCAAAAGTGTTTTCATTTTTTATGAAACCTTTTCTTTTATTGATTTTGGGACAATGTATGGAAGTAAAAGGGATTCGTTTGATTTTTTTTGCCGCGTCTGCTGCTGTTGTCGTCGTAGTTGTTGTTGCTGGTGTTGTTTCTGGGGAAGTTTTTAAAAATTGCGGTATCCCTTTGCTCTCTTGATCCCCCAAACGCGGTGTGGTGGCGGGTTGGTGGGTAATTAGCAGAAGCACCAACCACTATCACACTGCACCCGCCCGCGAGGGTTGTCGTGCGCACACCGCACCACACACACACACACACACACACACACACACACACACACACAATGCCCCGCACTGATTGCCCGTGGAGTGCAACTCTCACGCACGCGTCCACACACACACACACACACACAGCAGCAGCAGAGGTGATCCATCATGGAAGGCCCAGGAGTCTCTCTGGCGCCATCCGCGAGGTGTGAAAGTACTCCAGGCTGCACGCACGGCCGCTCGGCACGGCTCCGCCCAGCTCTGCGCTATAGGAGGCCCCTGCGCTGCGCGGTCACGTCCACGTCAGGCCCATAAAAGCTCAAGCGCCAGTTAAAACGGCACCTCCCGCCGATGACCGCCTGCAGATGGCGCGGCAGATTCAGTAGAAAACGTTTTGAAAAGTGTAATCGCAGTTACATTAAACTAGGAGCTAATTGTTCTTGTTTTTGTCTGTTGTTGCAGCAGCTGGTGACGCTGGGCGACGCGTCTCTGCCGGCGAGGCTGCGGCACCTGCAGGTGGCGGGCGGCGGCCAGGTGGAGGTGAGGCTACTGCAGAAGGCGTTCGCGCACCTGCAGCTGCTGGAGCGGGCGACCTTCTCCAGGCTGCGCCGCCTGCTCGTCCGCCACCACGCCTTCACCAACGCCTCTAGCGACGGCCAGGGCTTCTCCGCCGGACGGGGCCTGCTCTTGGAGGTGAGTTGAGTCGCGTAAGCGTACTAGTACAGAGCACACCGAGGGTTACTTCACTAAATAAAATCATGTACGTCACTAAAGTAAAATCAGAAAGAATCAGAGTAAAAAAAAATATGAAAAAGTCAGAAAAAATCAGAAAGAAAAAAAATATTAACAAGAAAAACAAGTCAGCAAAATCAAAAAGTTAGAAAAAAAAGAGCACAAAAAAATCAGAAAAAGTCAAATCAAGAAAAATCAGACAAGTTAGTGTACCCTTAATTTTATAGTGAAGTACCATCGGAATACTACAACACAAAGCTAGGCCCTGTGGCTCAACAAGGCGGGGCGGCGGGCGGAACGGGACAATGCGAACCGAGGCGGGCAATCTGCCGATCTGAAGCGCGATGTGCGGGCCAGCCCGGTCCAGGCACAGGGCCGTTCATCACGTATAGTTTTGTGGGCGATGACGTATTCGGAAGCGAGTTCTCCGCCGTGCCTCACGGCTGGCGCACAGAGCGCAGTCTCTCTCTGGATCCCGGCCAAGTCCGAGTGAGCCGCGCGGGCACGGTCGTACACTTGGCAAAGTCCCGCACCCCTCTCTCTCTCTCTCTCTCTCTCTCACTACCCTCCACGGCGACGGCGAGGAGAGAGGGGGCACTACTTCATGGCGGTGCAGCTGCAGCGGCGACGGCGAGTCACTCTCAGGCGCACCCTGGACACGACACCCTGGTGCCCAACCGGCGAGGCGGGGGTTCACTTCTTATTGAATAATTTTATAGGGAAACCTCGACGGGTTTGATTCTTTATCATTTTAACACGGTACTTACACGTACGAGTCGTTTTTATTTTTATTAGGTACTTTTTCAACAAAATTGAGGAGAGCCTAAATTGCCGCCCGCCGCCGCATGCCGAGCCGCCGCCGCGTACACGTCGAGTGCTTACGGACGGCCCCCTTCCTGGGGCATAAATCACAGCGCAGCCATGTAGTGAAATGCCGCCCCGCCCCGCCTCGCCCCGCCCCGCCGCCTCAATAAGGGATGCGGGCCGGGCTGCGCTGCGGGCTGGTCGGCTACCTCGTGTGCGCGACCAGGGCCATGAATAGAACGGGCTGGGCAGTGCGTGGCTTGCCGGCGCGCCGCCGCTGCCGCCCATGTCTCTCCTCCTCCCTCCCATGGCGTCCTTATACCAACCGCAGCGGTGGCAGCGGGACATCAAAGTGAATTTATCGCCCGTGAGGTGCGAAAATGTACTGCACTCTCCTCCTGGTGCGCCGGCGGGCGGGGGATTCCTATCGTCACGCTATTATTACGAGTTTTATTATTATTTTCGGTCGCGAGCACGCGCGGAGGGCCACTCCCCCGATGTCGTCGTCGTCCTCATCCTCCTGTGTTCTTTTCATTATTATTATTGCCTCTCAGCAAATCAATTAATTCATTAAGACTCCCCTTGTGTCGCGCGCGCCATTCTCTGTTTTCGTGGCGGGCGGTCGCGGCATTTCCTTCGGCGGGAAATTAGTGTCTGCTTGTGAGCGGAAATACTTGAGGGCGAGCCGCGCCGCGCGGGGCCGCCGCGCCGCCGCCCCACAGCGCGCCCCACGACGAGCACCCCCCCCTCTCCCCTGCCTCCTCCCCCGTCTTGGAGCCATCAATGGAATGCAGAATGTGGCCGCATTGAACGCCGCCCCGCCGCCGCGCGCTCGCCGTTACGCCCCGCCCAACCACGCAACGCCACGCCACGGCCCTCACATGCTGCCCCCCGGGCGTGGTGGCTGCTCGGCTCCTCGCGACACAATAGGGCCGCACGCTGCAAAGTTTTCCCCCTTCGCTTTTGCCTGCGGCGTGCGGGACGTGCGGGGCGGGGCGGGGCGGCCGAGGCCCCTGCTTCATATTGAGACCCCACGTGCTCGAGGCTCACACACCGGCCGCCCTGGCCCTGCTATGCGCACGACGTACCTGGCCTCCCCGCCTGTTCCGAAATGCTGGCTCGAAAAAAATGACGTATAAATCATAATAAAAATTATCCTGCGGCGTGACTGTCGATGTATAGTTGGTGATAGTGCTAGTTGCTGGGTATCCAGCCGCGGGGAGCGCCTGACAGTTAGGCAAACCCTTCGGCGCGCCCGCCATCGCGTTGCCTATGCCTTACTCAGCCGGCGGTGTGTGTGTTCGTCTGTTCCAGATCGAGGACTGCGACGCGGTCGTGCTGGAGACGGACGCGTTCCTGGACGTGCGCGCGCCGCTGACGGCGCTCGTGGCGCGCACGGGCCACGTCGTGGTGCAGGGCTCGGCGCTGTCCTGGCTGCGCGCGCTCTCGCTCGTGGACGTGGCGCGGCTCGAGCTGCACGAGCACGCCCTGGCGCTGCGCGACGTGCACGAGCGCGCCGGCCCGCTCGCCAGCGTGCTCATGCAGAACGTCGTCCTGGCCGAGATCCCGCGCCACGCCTTCCCGTCGCCGCTCGCCGACATCCTCATCGTCGGCTCCGAGATCCGCGCCATCCGGAGGGACGCCTTCAGGTGCGTAGCTGTCTCCGCGCATCATATCGTGCGTGCCTCTGAGCCACGATGTAGAGGTTTTCTACATCGTGCTCTGAACGCTGCTAACCTCTACTTGTCCTTTTACAGCGCCCTTCAGATGCGCGCCGTGCGGCTGCTCGAGACGTCCGTGCACCGCCTCGACGGCGGCGCCTTCAGCGCCAGGACGCTCATCCTATCGCTCGAGATCCGGGGCGCGCGCCTGCACCAGGTGTCGTCCGGCGCCGTCAGCTCGGCCGTCAACAACCTCACCATCTCCAACTCAAAGTAAGTACATCGAGGTGGTGATCGCGACGGTCCCACCGCCAGCCCCACGACTAACGCCCTGTTGTTCTTCTGCCAGGCTGTACGAGGTGCTCGGCGGCGCCTTCAACCTGACTGTGGCCGCCGTGGCGCTGCGCCACTCCGTGCTGGAGCGGGTGCGGTCGCGGGGCTTCGCGCTCAACAAGTGGAACTCCATGGAGGTGCACAACAACACCTTCGCGTGGCTGGAGCCCTTCGCCTTCCAAGCGCCCTTCCGGTCGGCGCCCGGCGTGGACGCCTACCGCTTCCGCTTCACCGACAACGTGGTGACGAGCGCGCTGCCCAGGGCCTTCTCCTTCTCGGGGTCGGAGGCGGCCGCCGCCGAGGACGAGTGGGATGAGGGCGCGTACGACGGGGACGCCTCGGCGCCGCCGCCCTTCCTGCCCGCGGAGGTGCGCGGCAACGTGTTCGAGCGCGCGTGCCACTGCCAGATGCACGCCTTCCTGGACGAGCTCGTGTCGGCGCCCGCGCCCTGGCTTCCCTGGGTGCCGGCCGGGCTCCTGTTCAACACGAGCTCCTGCCTGGTGGACAAGCGGCAGGCGAGCTGCTTCGACCTGCCAGAGGGCGCCACCGCCATGCCCAACTACACGGCCGTGGTCTGCACCGCGGGCCTCGCGCCATGCGAGGTCGACGAGGACATCAACGACATCGGCGACCAGTCGCTGGGCGGCGCCAACGGCGGCGGCCTCGTCGACGGCTCGCCGGGGACCACGACGTACATCGAGGGCGGCGACTCGGCGCTCAACTTCGAGGCCGGGCTGCAGCGCGAGAAGAAGGTGCTCGCGGGCATATTTGTGGTCGTGGTGGCCAGCCTGGCGCTCGTGCTGGCCGTCAGCGGCGCCGCCTGGCTCGTGCGCCGCGGCGGCTCGTCGCGCTGCTCGTACACGGCGCTGTGCTCGCGCCTGCGCACCCTGGGCATGAGTGAGACCTCGGGGGCCGGCGGCGGGCTTGTCTCGGCCTCGTCGGCGCGCTCCATATCGCGGCTGTCGGTGCACGAGTACGAGCGCCAGCACTCGCACGCCACGGGCACGGGCGTCACGACCCTCACGCTGCACGAGGACGACGACGACGACGCCTGGATCCCGTGCGAGGACAAGGCCACGCAGACCCTGCCCGAGGAGCTGACGCAGGAGCTGCTGCAGACGCTGCGCGAGAAGCTCGACGACCCGGACAACTACAGCGAGGCGCGCGACATGATCGAGCACCTCTACGACCTCATCAAGGTGGAGGAGAGCTGCAACACCAACCACCGGTCGCTGTCGGACCTACACGAGGAGCTCGACAGCTACATGGACGAGGAGGAGGCCGACAACGGCGAACACGTCTACGACGTCATCCGGCCGCAGCAGAGGCCGTCGGCGCGGCCGCGCGGCGCCCGGGGCAGCCGCTGCACGGCGTCGGTGGGCACGCGGGCGCCCTCCCCGGACAAGCTGGTGGGCGGGCGGCTCGGGCCGGGGAACGGCGGCGCCCCCCAGGGCAACGTGTACACGCAGCGCCTGGGCGTGGGCCACGCGCGCCCGGCCGCCAACATGCTGCGCTCCATCGGCCAGAGCCTCGCCAGCCTGCACAGCGTGGCCGCCCCCGCGGGCGTCCCCGCCACCCCGCACCGGCCCGCCCCCGGCGTCCCCGCCATGCTCTGCGACTACGCCGAGCCCACGGACGCCAAGGTGCACGTGTACTGCGAGCTGCCGCCCAGTCACCCGCCCCCGGGCGCACCCGGCGCCGAGCCCCCCACCGCCCCCTGCAGCCCCGTCGTCTGCAGGATGGCAAACCGGCCGCTGCCCAGCAAGCCCAGCAAGTAGCGGATCCGATACCGATCTCATTTTTTTTGAGGATGAAATCGTACAGCTATTTCTCAAAAAACCAAAACTTTGTC